AGATGTCAGGCTATTTCCTGCGTGCTCTGCCTTGGGTGCACAAACCTGTCAAAGCTGTAAATTGGATCTACCTTGTCCCTTTGGATATGGGTTTGGTCTGTGCACATTTTGATGCAAAACCATGATGCATGTGGAGCTAGTTTACAGCTGGCAGTAAAAAGGAGCATGAGTGGAATATGATTACTACTGTTTTAAGGAGCTTTGTCCCCAAGTCCTTGCCAGGGAAGGTAATGGTCTGGGCCAATGCAGATCTGCTATATATTTTGTTGGTGAGATAGCACCTTTAAGGTGGAGATGTTCTTCAGTGTTGTTTTTCCAGTCTGGCTGTGTTCAGTGCTTGTCTGCATCATATTGTGTGTGGAAAGGGCTGTCAGTCGCTCACATCCTCACCAACAAATTAGTTTGGCAAATAAAGAAATGGCTCTTGCTATATGGGAATCAGTGTAGCTAGAAGGGCTGAAGGTGCCTGCCAGAATCAGGCAACTTTTTAGTCGATACTTCTACCTACATCTTACTTTTTTGCTGACCAGCATGGCTTTCATCCTCTTCACTGCTGGACTGCATGTCATGGTGACCGAACTGTGCTGTGCATTTCAGCGATGTTTTGTGGAAGGTTTTAGTGGCAGGATCTTTTACTGGATCAGCAGCAGACAGGCTTTGGAGGTTTGGTCTGAGGACAGACCTGGGAGCTAGGAAAGTTCAGGTGCTGATCTTCACTGTGATCCTGATCCTTTTTATGCTTTTATTTTAATACTTGCAAAATAGAAATCTAGGTACAATGAAATTCAAATGCATTGGGAGTTGACGAGGAGGCTGCATATAGAGAGCTAAGCTGTGATCCAGGTTACTTTAAGTGGGTAGACATAGCTGTAAATTTAGCCAGCTCAGCCTAAAAGTCTTGCAGAGTGCACTTGCTGCCATGAAGCACACTTCACATTTCTCACTAACGGCTCTTCAAAATATTCGGACTGCTTACCAGAAACTACTGAAAGAGCTATTTTTTTTTATCTGCACTAAGGTGTGTGACTGCCACATCTGCTCCCCCTCCTGTTGTATTTACTTGTGCTCTTCTGCAACCAGCAGCCTCACTAGCTTTATCGCTGGGGAAGTCTTTCATGCTCATTTGGGAGCCTTGAAGACTCCTTCCTTTCCATTCCCTTTCACACTGGCCAATCTCTCTCCGAGGTAATGGCCTCTGTAGTGGGGATTAAGGAGAGTCAAGGACAGTGGTATTCCCCTGGGAAGCTGTCTGCATTGTGGCTTCAGTGGCTGGGACCATTGACTGAGGGCCTCCTGGCCACTGCCCTTTGCTTTACCACTTCTGGGTTGGGCATGGAGGGTCCTTCGTGTTCCCTGCCCTATACTCACAGAGGAACAGCAGCGTCCCTGCAGTCCTGACTTCTGATGGCTTTCAACAGATATGCCCCTAAATCAAAGTGCATGTTTATCTGCAAAAAGAAGCAGCTTAGCTTTTTGGTTTTTTGGATATGTTATGAATAATGAGACCATCCCAGAGAGAAAAGAAGGTGGGAGGTTTAACTGCGGTGCCCCAGATGGATAAATGAGAAAACCTGAAAGAATAGAGACACAGTCTGTGTTGTATAGTGTTTTAGCCAGCCAAAGGTCAGTAGGGGTTGGCAGTAAGGGATGTTTATGGCTGGGCCCCCCCACCTTGTGCATTTAGAATTTGATCCAAAACCCAGTGGTGTCAGGTGGGAGCTATTGTTCTGCGGAGGTCGGTGGACCTTGGACCACAATGGTGGTAGTGTGCTTCATTTTTCAACTCTGACTTTTTTTCCTTTACTGTCTGCTAAGAGTTTATAAGTACCTGCTGCTTTTATACGCTGACAGCCTGTAGAGCTGGATACGTATGGTGCTTTAGCTACACAAGAGAAGATGCATTAATAAGTGGGAGTCTCACTCTTTCGTCCCTTTGTCCTTGTATACACCAGTGTTTATGGTGGTCAGTGCTTTCAGTGACTGTGTTAAGGAGCTCCCCAGGCACAGATTCGTGGCTGCCTGTAACCTTATTTTATTAATGCAGTGAGTGGGTGTGCCTCTTTCGATCAGCAAGCCAAGTGTCTTGCCTTCAACTTCAGGAGAGTGGATGAAAAGCAGTGATTTCTTTAAATGTAAAAAGTCTGAAGGTAGAAATTGAATCTGTTCAAAGCTGAATTTGAAATCAGGCTTCTACATAGGATGTTAATCTCTACTGTAATCTATTAAAGCCACTTAAATGAAAACCAAATAAAATTCAAGCTTTGTATGTCTGCTGCCTGGAAGTCTAAAAGTGTATCAGACCGCTGACCTGGTAGAAGCAGCTGGATCTAGGAGTTGCTAAGCTGCTAAATGAGCTTTTGGTAATGATGAAGTTGCTTTTTTTCATGTCAGTTTTTTCAGGTACTTGACTTCAGTGTCTCAGATTCACTCAAATTTGACAGTCGGTTGGGAACTAGAAATTTGCCTCTTCCAAACTCTCTGTAAGAGGAAGGTATGAAAGGTTCAGATCTTCTGATTACTGAAGGAGCTTGTGACCAGAGGCAGAAGAATAAATTGTTTACAGTCAATACTTTCCTTGTTCTCTTAAACAGCACATTTAAAATACAAAAATATCTTGATATTTTTCTTCAGCGTGTGCTACGTATTTCAAGTTTGTTTAGTATGCATTTTGATTGTTATTTTGGGGGAATTTTTAATTATAAGTGCTGTCAAATGTAACTGGGCTTACTAATAAATACAGAACGTCACTCACTTTTAACATAAAACTGTAGACACTGAGGCTGTGAATAAGCATATGTTCAGTTGCTAATTTATTTTTAAGTTTACAAACAAATCTGGATGATCATAGTACATTTCGTGATTGGCAAAAGCATATTAACAAATGGGAGCCAGTCTTCCTGTAAGATAATATTAAGTACAAATGCATGACAAGGTTAAATGGGGTTCAGGCTGTGTTTCCTTGAGTGCTAGTGTAAAAGAACATTAAAGGCGTTTTCCCCTGAACATCCGTCTTGCAGTTCTGGCTCGCAGTCGTGGGCAGGTGCAGCTGGAGTGGCTGCAATGATCACTGCCTCTTCGCCACCCGTACTGCCTTACCCACGGTCTCGTCTCCATGGCAGGGACAACTGAATGATGTGTCTCTGCTCCTGAGACAGTGTGATTTATAGATTGACCTTGTAATGGGAATGGATGTTGATTTTTGCCAAATTTAGGCTATAGCAACAGATGTGCAGTCCCTGCTGAGCTCCCTGCTCCAGGTGAGTGGAGAGAGGATAGGCAAACCACCTTGGTAGCCGTAGCTTAGGCTCAGAGGACTTTCTTGGAGGAATAAGTCACTGAAATCACAAACCTGCTGCAGGAAAAGGTTATGGAGGGACCTCTGGTCCACTGAGAAGCAGGTGGCAAGGTATCTTCTGTGTGCTTTTCAAGCAGTGCTATGTGGAGCCTGTATGAAGACAATCCTAGCTGAAAGCCAGGATGGGAATGCAGAAGGTGGCTCACGCAGTAACAGAGATTGTCTCAATCCTACCCAGAGGCAGATAATGGAGATGTGCCTATGCCTGCCTGTTCTATCTAGACATCCCCACATAGCAGCTTTCTTCTTGCACCGTTTTTGTGTGGCTATTAAGCTTGGTGCATTAGAAATCACCTGCCAAAACCTTTATTAAGGATGATCGTGAATTGCTGAAAAGTGAAGAAGTTCAGACTTGTTTCCCATGGCAACTTTAACTCAGCACTCTTGTGCATAAGTATTACAGTGGAATATTAATCTGCAATTACCTGTCTTCATGCAGCTTA